TATAGCATGCGTGAAGTTCTTTCCATGGTCAAATAAATAAGAAGCACTCCAAATCGGGAAATCTAGTTTTTTACTAGAATTTCTGGGACGGTTTAAATTTCTTGATCAGAAATGTCATAAGCTTCTAGACATTTACTGTAGAAGTATTTTGTACACATAAAAAATGATACAATAATAAAACAATATATAAAATACAAGAGTCATGTTATACTTGCTTGGAAATGAAGCAGTTTGGGAGTCATTGAGGCACTCAATCCCACTCCCGTAACAGTGTTGCTTGTAGAGGCTGTTTGCAAGGTCTTGGGGGCGAAAGACACTTCTTCCACGTGTCGTTGTGGTGCAGTGTTCAAGCGCATATCCAGTTAGAAAGTGAAAGGTTTTAGGTTTCCTTTCTATTCCAAGCGAAAGCATGATAGCTGTACAGGGTGTCTCAAAAGGTCGTAGCCAAATTTAACAGGCTGGTATGCTATACCATGACAAAAAACATTTACATAGAAACTCGTGTCCGAAACTGCAAACGGCGTCCGCTAGACGGTAAGATTCGAAGGATTATGGGAGAGTAGGAAGTATAATAATTTGAGGCGAGGACGTTGCAGGAGAAAGATGAATCGGTTTACTAACTCAGCTGTTTATGGACATTTTGTGTGACACTGTGGATAGAGTGTTGCTAGATCTAATGGCTGAAATTCCAACAGCTACATTCCGAAACATCTAGATTCAACATGATGGTGCACCTTCACTGTGCGGAAATACATCAATAAGACATATTCTGATCGCTGGATTGGCAAAGGAGGACCAGTCGCATGGCCACCTTACTTTTCTGGATTTCTTTTTTACATGTGAGAATAGATGAAGTTTATGGATAGACCGATACGACAAGAACATCGGACATGGATCTCGTAGCCAGGATCTTGGAAGTGGCGGCACGTATTCGTGACTCACCTTCCCATTTTGAACGGGTTTGTGAATCCATGCGTCGACTTTGCGAAGCATGCATTGTGGCAAATGAAAGGAATTTTGAGCATCTATTATTTAACCATGTTCTTTAATAAAAGTCATATTAACACCTGCAGCGACATCCCTACTTTCTTTCCCTGTACGCTTGCGAACGTTGCCCTCTAGCGGTCGCTGATCTGATTTTCGGACACAAGTTCCCATGTAAATCTTGTTTGTCATGGTATGACAGACCAGTATGGCCCACGTGCCCACGTGCGGTTGGAGTTCCAAGTGCCCACGTGCGGTTGGAGAACTACGATATTCAAAATTGGAAAGCTTTAAGTACCGTTGTTTTTCCACAATGCGAGAAACATTCATGCATTCATGCAGATTCTTCATTATTTAGTTTCTTGAAATATAAACCATGGCGATAATATTTGGTGGCAACAATCTGAAAACTGAATCAACGCATAAAGTGCAACGACACAAAATGCCGTTTTGAGACTAATGGACCTTTTGGTCTAATGCCACTTTGGGATAAAATGTGATAAAAAGCATATTTTTTAGCTTCTGAGTAACAGGTTTAATCTATGATTGCCGTCGAAATCTAAAACATTTAGTTCCAAAATCTACGCAGAAAGAAATTTTTCCTTTTTTTAATCTAATTTTAAAAACATAATTGGGTTTAATCTGACAAGTTCACACATTGTTAGCTGTGGGTCAACTACAAACCACCGTCGAAAACTATGCTGAATGGAGCCAATTTTCAACACAGAAGCTGCCATAAAGGAAATGCATGAATCAACATTATCCGTTAGGAGTGACATGTTAATCCAACGCATCGTATTTAAACCAATAAAGCAGGTACCAAGAACAAGGTCAATGAATTCAAAAACTCACAACAGATCAATTTCGAATGTTTTATTTACTCAAGGTCAATTTTTAATGTTTTATTTATTCCAGGTGATCTTTTATACTGTATTTCTTACAGCAAAAAATTAAGAAACAGTCCGGTGAAGATATTACGAAGTTCTGAAATAATCGGAAACAGCCAGGCGTTAGTCAATTGCTTTTTGTAATTCCTATCATATTTAGTTTCGATTTGCATACTTTTAAGCATGTGTAATGCTTTGTGAGTGTTAGCATATTAGGTGCTCATCTTTCATTAATTAATTTATGTCACTTACGCAATTTTTGCTGTTATTTAAGTAAAGAAATTTCGTAGTATTTAATAATGTTCTTCCCCCTTATTAGAAATAATTGGAATCTTCCCTGCGAGATTTTTACATCAAATGTTTTAAAATTTGGAAACAGCTAATCAGGAATTTTCAAAATAGAAAAACTTTTCTTCTAAGTTTAATAGCACGTGCATATGCTTTACGATTATTATTCTCTGATTCTTAATATACTGAATTTAACAGAGTTTACGCTTCTATTGTTAAAAAATTCTGATGCGGGCCACATGACTTCCTTATACGGACCTGTTAAATTATATGCAGTTTTTGACTGCATTTCATTTACTTATTTTCTCGAATTTTATTAGAAATATATTGCTCAGTCAATTAATTTAGTTGTCACTTCGCGACAAGGCAAAAATACATAAAACCTCAAAATATATTCATTAAAATTTGAAAAAAAAAAAAAAAAAAAAAAAAAAAAGAAAAAAACATAAAACACCAAATACAGTGAAAAACTGTTAAAAAACCTTTACAGTTAAAAAAAAAAGAGTTTCTATGCAAAAACAAGCAATTCGGCCCAGCGGAAAACACGGCAGATTTTTTAGTGCACTAAACTGAAAGTTTACGTTTGGTCCCGCTCGGTAAAAAGACACTGAAGGTGCAGAAACTGCACTTTGAATGTTTTTTCCGAGTGGCATTTAATTCACTGCTCTGCTAAGTTTTAAATGTAGACAAATATGGCTGTATGTTAGGCTTAGCAATTGAACAACTTATTGATAATGCTATAACTATTGCATACAGATTAATTAAAAGCATAAAATTTCTAACCGCACCATAAGGTCAACATAATTCAACCATTTTTAAGGCAAAAAATGAGCAATTTAACAGCATATAAGTATTATAAATACTTTAGCTCACCGAGCCGAGAAGCAAAGTGTATATATATATATATATATAATTTATTTACTAAAGAAAAAAACTTATAATAACGTTTACGAACTTAGTGAATTTAAGATCATACAACATTTTATTATATATATATATTTTGACTAATAGCAAATTGCTATTTATTTTATTTTGTACATTGGCATTACCAGTCCATTATGTATAGTTATTATTACACCTTAATGTATGTCCTCAAGTGGACGAGTCGGGAATTTGGAACAGAGAATTGAAACTAAAGTTTATGGCTAAGTTTATTCACTTAATTTTAAAAAAGTAATTTCGTATACAGTTTCAATTGTCTGTTTCTGCGAAACGCGATATAGAGTTAGCTGGATTCGAAAATCATTAAAATAATTTCCCCTGAAGAGCCTTAATGAGATTCGAATTGGGCTAATCTGCCATTTACCGCTTCTTTGTTTTTGTATTTTTGCTTAAGTCTTTTATCACACTTTAATTCTAATGTTTGAAATATGCCTTACTTTGATCAGCATATTGCTTACAATTAGTATTAAATTTTATTTATAAATATTCAAGTATTTATATTGTTTATTTAATTATTTTATCTTTATAGCACATTTCATTGCACCTTTATTTTACTTAATGTTATGTTAATATGTTCAACGGATTTTCCACAGTATCTAAGCAACATTTTGGCGTATGAACTAGAAATTTTCTTATAACTTTTTTCAAAATTTTGCAGTTCAATGCGCAAAGTGTTTGACCATATAGGTCTTTTATAGTTTGTTCTTCTTTCTTTAATTATATATACACATATATATATATGTGTGTGTGCGTATTTACAAGGTAAGAATAGCTTATGAACTAAACAAAAGGACCTTTGAGGTCAAGAATTTTGCGCATTGAGCTGCAAAATTTGAAATAAAATTAAAAAGTAATTCTTCAAGGTATAGCCTATGAGTTAAAGTGATGCTTCGTTCCTTTGCAAAAAAGTATAAACACAAAGTAAAGATCCAGTTGTAATACAAAATGTAAAAACATAATATGTAAGAAATATTAATAAAGAAAAATAGCTAAAGATGAATGCTTAACTTGATTGAAATTTAAAAGTTAATATGTATGTAGAATAAAGTGTAAGCAATCTTAAAACATACTAGGATAAAATATAACAAAAACATCATATTAAAAGAACAATAAGAACTACAAACAGCGGTAAATGGAATAATTAGCCTCTGCCGATTGCAACCAAAAGGCGAGGGGTACAACTGCATGTTATAGCAGACATATATAAAAAAATTTAATGTTCTGAGGTTAATTGTTTTTCAGTTATGCGAGATACTACATACAAACATACGTACGTAAGTACGGACGGACGTCACGAAAAAAATCTCTTCTGAAAACCCATTTTAAATCCATTTTGCAATCCGTTTTGGGAAAAGGAGTCCTTTATCCTGACCTTACGTTCAAATGTCACGTAAAATATCGTTAAATTGCATTCGAAAGCTTCAAAATGCATATTTTCTATGAAATATGATGCCCGAATTTTTTGACGATTACAATACTTCCTTTACTTCGTACAAGGCAGTAAAAATGGTATTACTGAGACCGGTTTAATAGTCAAAACCTCCAATGCTGATTCGCTAATTTTTAATTTGGAAGAAGGAACAAAATCGTCAGTGTTTTGTGCTTCCAAGCAATTAAAATTCGCTCAGTAGTAAATGAAAAGATTTTTTTTTAAAGTTTGGTTAGTTTTGGTAAATAAAAGGATAAAAGCGATCCTGATGAATACTTCTATCCAGCTAATAAACTCATATTTAGGAGCAATGTATAAAGATTTCATATCTTTAAAAAGTTCACATTTTTTATTTTGAGATTCTAGACTTTAAAATGGATGTAATATACATATTTCTGTTATCAGATTTTTAAAAATGCTTTTTACGGTTAAAAGTATATGAAGACTAATACGTGATTTTTGTTTTCTAGCAACCGTCCCCCCACTTGCATCAACATCGTCCACAGCTTCCAGTGCTTTCAACATTCTCCGAGATCCAGCCGTGTTCGTTCCCATTGTGTGTGCTATAGTTGTAGTAGTCGTCATCACCGTTGTCGTGGCAGTCGTAATGGTGCTGAGGAGAAAGGACACAACATCAGAGTGCCGATCCCAAGGTGTCTGTAAGTTCTGAAATATCGGTATCGGTCTACAGACCGCTCGCGTTTAAATATTAAAAAAAAAAAAAAATTCTGATGTGAACTCCACATGACTTCCTTGTGTGGCCTATTAAATTATATATATATTTTTTGGCAGAACTTCATTTAAACTTATGTCCTCTAATTATTCTGCCTTAACTGCTCTCTCAAAGCAAGTTGAAAAGGACATCAAAATTTTAAATTTTGAAATTAAATACCCCTGTCATTTTTTGTGGAGCAGGAAGCAAACTTCTTATAAGTTTAATTTCTCATAACGAGTATAAAACGTTCCCAAATGTAAGTATAGGAATCGGGGGAACGCATTAAAAATTAAATTTCGCTATTTCTAGAAAAATGTTAATTTTTCAAATTTGATATTTCCAAAAACATGAATAATTTCGTCATTTAAAGCACTTCTGTTCTTTGAAGTGTATAAAATACCACCAGCGATTAAAAGTACGTAGTTTAATGTTCCGAATTTTAATAAAAATAGCAAGTTCACAAGTACACGTTACAGCAGTCCCATAAACGAAATTTCAATGTTCTACGGCTAATTATTTTTGAGATATAAGCACAGACGTCACGAAAAAATCCATTCTGAATCCATTTTACAAACCGTCTTAAAGTAAAGAATCCTTTCTTCTGATTGGTCCACCAGCGGCCGAGCGGTAAAGTCGCTGAACACTGGTAGTTCGCTCCGATGTTCGAATCCCGCGAACGGGCTGGCTGCATGGGCGTTTTCGTGGTTTTCCTCATGTGTAACGTGTATATGAGCCAGTTTCCCTTAGAAAGTCCTCCACAAAGGCATCCGCCCTCTTAGGTAGATAGCCCTAGTGTGCTTTGCCATAATTAAATACACCACACCACCTTTATTTTGATCGTACGTACAGGAACAGGGAAAAGTGGACGAAGCACCAGAACTTCGTCAGTGACCAGGCATTGCTCCGCCACACTACAGTACCCTCTGGGCTTTCGGTTGGCCCGCATCGGGTGCCAGCCTAACAAGACATTTACATAGAAACTTTACATTAATATTAGACTTACGTATTGAATATACAATTACAAAGACACAGTATACAATTATTACAAAGAAATTAACCTATTAACAAAAGTTGGATTATGGCAGATTAATATATAATACTTCGAACATACATCATACAAACTTTCATTGTACACGGGACATTGTACATTGTATTTCATACAAACAATATATTTACATTAGTATATCTAGTTACATCGAATTACATTAAACATCTTTTTAAGAAACTAATTGGTGAAGAATTTTTTTTTTTTTCATCTCATTGTACTTTGTTGTATTCCTAAGGCAAATTATCTTATTAATACATTTCCTTTCATTTTTTAACTTGTTACACAGGATTGCATCATCTGAAGTCTTACATTTTTTTGTAATTTATGTATCATAAATACAGAAAATATGTATTAGAAAATCACATAATACTTACATTTGCACTAATATATCTAATAAAGTCGTATATATTTTTTTAATCAATGATTTAATCTTTACAAGATTTCCCCCCCCATCTCTTAATACAGTCTAAATTCTTAATGTGATCATTTTGTAAAAACAATTCATACCATATTTAGCCTGTTTCAGACGTTTGCAATATTTCTGAAATCTTGCAATATTTTTGCAAGTTATGAAATAAGATGTGATAACATCTTGATATATGTCTTCTCCTTTATATGAGAAAAGTTTCTTCATAATCAAGGAAACCTTTTGTTGTAATTGAGGGATCGTTAGTAAGCATTTAAAGTACTCGGGCGTAATTTGTCACCTTTCTTTGCAGTGTAGCACTTTTGTAAGCTGGCACTTGAAAATATAGTGCTCTGGGTCTCCCTAGGGTCATACAAAAAATTCGTTCAAATGGAATCGAGACCGGTCAAAACGGATAGTTTCGTTCAAATATGATACTGGAAATTTTTCGCGGTTACAATACTTCATTTACTTCGCACAAGGAAGTAAAGAAAGTACTGAAATAGTAAAAATCTGATGTGAACAACCGCATGACTTCCTTGCATGGAATGTTAAATTATACGCATTTTTGCTGCGTTTCATTTAAACTTATTCTTTCGACTTTCATTAGAGATGTATTTATCATTCAATTAATTTAGTTCTCACTTCGCGGCAAGGCAAAAATACATAAAATCTCAAAATATCTTTATCAAAAATTGAAAAACAAAAAACATAAAACACAAAATGCAGTTAAAACAATTAAAAAAGCAATTTTTACAATTAAAATTATAGTTTATATGGAAAACCCAGCAAACCAGCCAGTGGGTGAAAAGGCAAATTTTTCGGTGCACAAAACTGAAAGTTTACTTTTGGTGCCACTTGACAAAAAGACACTAAAGAAACTGAAACTGACTTAATTCACTATTTTGCTAATTTCCAAAATGAAAACAAATATGGCTGCTATGGTAAAAGCCGCACTTAAACAACTTTTAAAATGTTGATAAATCTACAACTATTGCATGCAGATTAATTAAAGGCATAAAAACCTTAAACGGAAGATAATAATAACATAATTCAATCGCTTTTAAAGCAAAATATGTACAATTTACCAACATACAAGGAAAAAAAAAAAAAAAAAAGGAAAAAAAAAAAAAAAAAAGAAAAAAAAAAACTGAGCTCACCGAGCCGAGTAGAAGTGGGTGGGTGGGTGTGTTTATATGTATATATTTATATACACTGGTGTGCAAAAATTAAGGACGAAGTCGAAAAATTAGCATATCAGCTGAACGAAGAGCAGCGGACGAAAGACCAATCAGGAGATTAAGTAAGGTGATGTACGTAGCACATGCGCAGATATGCAGCTAGACTAATGGGGGATGTCTGAGTAGTATAAAGCATGTTATCGGTGTAAGATCAGTATTTCTGGCAAAGCGATTGCACGCCGTATAGCAGTTAAAATCACACCGAGTTGCTGCCCCAGCGAGAATGGCGGATAATCATCGTTAGACTACATCTGGATGCTTTTACCCGAGATCGAATCATTGGAAGTTGGAGGAAAGCCGCAGTGTGACAAGAGTGCTGCAGATTCGGAATTGCTCACAGCATCGTTTCACGACTTTGGAGACAATTTCAAACTACAGGAACAGCTATCCGGGGGTTTAGTACTGGTCGTCCACGAGGAACTACACCCGTAGATGACCGGTATATTGCCTTACAGGCCAGAAGAAACAGGCGGCAGACAGCGGGAGAAATCGCTAGACACACGACACTGGCGACTGGACGACCGATATCGCGTTTTACCGTGGCCAGAAGACTGCACGGTGGTGGTCTGTTTGCACGACGCCCTGTAAGGTGTGTACTTCTAACGCCTGCCCATCGGAGAAAGCGTTCTCTGTGGTGCCGGGAACACCGGAATTGGAGAGACAATGAATGGGGACGAGTACTCTTTACAGATGAGAGCAGATTCAGTTGAGTAGCGATTCTCATCGCATACTCATCTGGAGAGCGGGGAAGCCGCAATCATCCCCGTACATCATTGAAGGGACAGGTATGGAGGTGGCGTGTTCTCGTTTGGGGAGGCATCATGTGGTAGTCGTTACAGACCTTCACATCTTCGACGCAAGTTCAGTTAACGGGACCCGTTATTGTAACGAGATTCTTCTTCCATATGTGCGTCTTTTTAGAGGCGCTACGGGTCCGCAGTTACTTTTCATGGACGACAATGCACCATGTCATCGCACAGTAGCTTCCGAACAGCTCTTAGAGAGTGAGGATATTGAACGTATGGATTGGCCGGCACGATCTCCGGATCTCAATCCCATCGAGCATGTATGGGATTTTCTAGGCAGACGCTTGGTAGCTCGTACCTTACCACCAGTAACGATTCCGGAGCTTCGATTGGCGCTGCAAGACGAATGGGCAGCAATGCCTCAACAACTCATTGACACCCTCATTCTCAGCATGGGCTGACGCTGTGAAACCTGCCTATCAGTCAGGGGAGATCATATCCCCTATTAAAGACCGGATGTGTCTTGCTGGACACCCATCACAGGGATGTTTCGGCCTTCAGTCGCATTGCGCTCCATGCTACATTTTCAATAAAGCTTCTTTTTATCCCTCTGATTTCTCTTTTAGTAAGTGTTGCTTACATTACTCATGTCCTTACGTATTGAGGATCTTACGGTATTAAATGTGTTGATTTGGAAAGCTTTTGTACAAAGTTATATTGAAAAAACCGTCTCGTCCTTAATTTTTGCACACCAGTGTACTTTTGGGCTGCCGATTGCAACTAAAAAGAAATGTGCACAACTGCATGTTATAACTGTCCTGTATACAAAATTTCAACGTTCTGAGGCCACTCGTTTTTGTGTAGATTGCGTCTATGCTAGATACATACATATATACATATGTATATACGTACATACGTCACGAAAAGCTCTCTTCTGAATCCATTTTAAATCCTTTTTGCAACCCTTTTTTGTGAAAAGGAGTCCTTCATTATGTCCTTACTTTCAGATGTCGGGCAAAAGCATCGTTAAATTGCATTCGATAGCGGTCAAAATGGATATATTCTTAGAAATATGATACTCGAAAATTTTCGCGATTACAATACTCAATACCTGCTTTAATTCGTACAAGGAAGTAGAGAATGAAGATATGTTTTTCGGGGAAGATTTCGTCTAAAACTGAAACTGAGTTTAATATTCGCATTGTATTGCTATGATTTTGCGATTCTTCTACTTAGTACTTTAAGAAAAGTCCAAGTAAAGAAAATTTTCCATTTTGTATTTATTCTTCTCTTTTAGTTAAAAGACATTTTATTAGTTTCAGTGAAAAAAAAATCATTATATTAGAAATTTAATTTCAGAGCGACTGACACTTTGAAGAGCTTTCCCTTAAACACATTAAAATTGAATTTTTTTAAAAGAAAAAATATAAAATGTAAATAAGCGGGAGGTTGCAGATAAAGCGAGCGCAAAACAACTTTTATTTTTCGCTTTACGTTCTCCTTAACGGAATTCAGCTTTCTA